GAGCCGAGTCCTGGAACACCCTGAAACCCATTCCTCTGATGACCTCAGGGAGCACACACTCACTGCCAATTACAGCCTTATTCCTGCAACACTCGCTTGAAGAAATTACCTCTAGCAAAGACACTGCACCCTGAACAACGCCTGCTTTGTTCAGCTTCTTCTTCATTTCATTTAAGGGCTCCCATTTGAGCTTCCAGTTTGTGGAACAGGCCTGGTCTGGGCTCCTACCGCAAGGGCATCACGGCCTCTAATTTTGTCAAGCAAGAATGTCAATCATGGAGGCTTTTGCTCACCATCTCTCTCAAGGTTTGTATGCAATTAGAGCAGGTTTAAGAAGTTACATTACCAAAGCTGCTTCATTAGAAAACACAAGCGACTAATAGATGAATTCTGTAAATGCTATATCAGAGCATATTGGAGCTGCCCACCCACCAGTTTGCAGTGTTTGCTGTTGTGGTTTAATCTTCAGAAGCTGACCTCAGGGTTTTCGATGTCAAAACAGCTTCCTTCCCAAGCACTGAGGTCATGAACCCCAAAGCTCCCTTATGACTTTAAGCAATTAAGTTTTATGTTCCAGAACTCAGGAGCGAAATTTTGTTAGGCAATTCTTTTGACTTTTACAGAATTATTACTTTGTCTGTCTTGACCTAACACAAGGAGTGGTGATACCTAAGCAGGAAACCAATCCCCTCCTACACAGCCAGACTAACTCGATTTCTCCGTCCATATTGCAGGGTACTGGCTCTAGACAAGGTTCCTGTGTAAAAAAAAAAATTCCCACAGCTTTGTTTTTGTCAATCTTACAACACTGACATTTTCAGAAGTGTTTCCTACACCCTTGGTTCTGTTTGCTGGTCTGGAGATGCTGACTGATGAAAAGACTCCAGTCAGAGCCACCGGAGACCCAGGTACAGTATTTACAGATTTTCTAACCCCCTAGGTAGCTGTCCCTCGCTTCAGCACTCAGCCGCGAGCCAATTCGTTGTTTTTTATTCTAGAAAAGAAACGCAAAAATCCACAGGGCCCACAGCGCTTCCACTCCAGAGAGAAAGGCCTTGGCGGAGGCTGAGGTGTTGAGGTTCAGCAATTCCATTCTTGTCGTTTCCCCAACCTTTACGTTTTTAAAAGTTAATCCTTTAAAAAGATTCCCAGGAGGGAAGGAATGAGCCCGGGGGTGTGTGTGTGTGTGTGTGTCGGCGGGTTATGTGGTCACATTCAGTCTTTTGCTCCAAGTCTGTGAAGTTTCAAGATCAAGCCAGGCCCACAGATTCCAGAAAACAATGGAAGACAGCGTACGATAAACCACCACATTTTTTGCCCTTTGTTTTATTCTTGATCTCCACAGAGCCTTTGATCAGCCCGTGCTATCCCCCCTCCCCTGTCCTCTCTTTATGGCATTATTTAGTTTTTACAAAACTGGCACCACATCTGAAGCTTTTTTTTTGGACTGCAAAAACTAAAAAAAGGCCCAAGTGTTCAGATCTATTACACAGGTAAGGGCGTGCCACCTCCGCTTTCTTTCTTTTTCAGAGGATGGAAACATGATAGGAAGTGCAGAATGTGTCCAGGCTGCATCAGAAGATCTGAAGCCTGCCGCATAAGCGAACACTGTATGATTACGCGTCACTTGACGTCTTTCAGCTGCGATGCGTATAATTACGCTAAGAAAATTACATTCTTCCGAAAACAAAACTTTAAAATGAAGAGCGTTGAATATTTAATTACTCTCCTTGTTTTAGCTAACCTTTTAATTAAGCAAAGAAGAACAATGTTAGCACCTAGTAAAGACACAGACTTAGATATGATTACTGGATGTCCCACATTGCAGTTTGATTGTGAAAATGTAACTAGTCACTCTCTCTCTCTCTTTGCACTCTGCCTTCAGATGTAGGCATTTACATAAAGTACTTGTCACCCTTCACCAGACATCTCGTACCCAGGTCCTAGACAACCTCCGAGTTGGTCTTATAAGGTCTTAACACTGGGAACCCCTATAAGTTATTGATCAATTAGACAAAGCATCTGTGCAATTGAAAAAACCTGTCCATGGAGATAGGAGGGTACACAGGTTTTGGTTCCAAACAATCACTAAATTACTCGGTTTAACAAATCACCTGCTAAATCAATCACAATCAAGTTGTACCAAGGCTTTAGGAATTGTTAATTTAATAGCCACATGGCAGCTTAGACCTCTCCAGCTCTCCAGAGGTGGAGATCTCTGCTCTACACCAAATCAAATCCAGTTTTTTCATAATTAAAAAATTTTCATCATTAAATTTATTTTAATGTTAAGTGGAACAGGAGCAAAATCTTAAGACTGTCTCCAGACTCCAAGACTAGTTCTTGTATTGGTTTGGCCAAGACATTGAGATAGACGAATCAGAATGGGCATCAGCCTGCTTATAACCACAAAATGTACAATGACTAAGCAGACAGCCTGGTTTAAAAAAAGACCATATGTGTGTAACACCAGTCCTCAAGGGCGAGAATCCAGCATGTTTTAGAGTTCTCTTTAAATCAACAGCTGATGACCCTCGAAAAGTGTTAAACTGCTCAAATTAAGCTAATTAAGCTAAACTAGCTCAATTAGATCATCAGCTGGAGCAAAACCCAGCAAACACTGCCACAGGTCTGGACAGGAGGTGTGTACCAGTGGTAGAAATCATTTATTTTTCCCCAATACTACACTTTGTGAGATGGAATACTTTGCTTGCAACTACTGTACTGAAAAATACCATGAGTATGAGTTAGAACCTGGCAATGGAGACCAGTGTCACAAGGAGCATAAGACGAAATATGCAGCTTTTTTATTAAAGCTAGGCTTTAAAGCATGAAAGCTACTACCAAGGTGAGCAAGGATCCATTATAGGAATCTAGACACAGGCTTGCAAACGAGTGAGCTCTGCTCGCCACACCAAGTGGGAAACACGGACGTCAAGCCTGAAACCAGAGTCCAGTCCTCATAAACATCCACTGTAGCTGGTGCCAAAAGTAAAGTAAAGAGAAGACTTTCATGACAAAAAAAATGGACATCCACAAGTAATCAGTCACCTTTAATAATAACGTCCTTAGTTTCTACGATCTCATATCACCCTACTGTATAATTCCATTTCAAAGAGTCCCAAGATAGTTTACATTTCCTTAAAATTTATTCCCCCATATTTTGCAGTTGATTCATAAATTAACCCAAGAAACTAACCACTTCCTTAACCTTGCCTGCCTATTAGACTTCAAAGGCATGGCACATCAAACGCAGTAGAATTGACATGACTTTTTACAGTAATAGGTCTCAAAAGCTTCAGCTTTCCTCCATCTATCATGTCCTGTAAATGAGTCCAGCCTCCACACACCGGCCCCACCTTCCCAATCACAACTATCACTCCAACATCGTCTCACTTCACCTTAACCTTCAACCAGAAACCACGCTTGTAATAAGCACCGTGTGCAGGCTTTTGATCAGGGAGGAGATGAAAGGCAGTGCCGTCTGTACGCCCCAGGCCACCTCTGCAGTCAAAACAAGAAATACTCACAGGAACAAAGAGGGGTGGAAGGAAGGAGAAAGACACCGCAATTTTTGCCCGGTACTATAGATTCGCGGCAGGAGAGAGAGACAAATTTTAATGTCAATCTCAGTTCGGGGCGTGTCTGTTGTATCCCAGTTGTGGTCAACTTACTTTTGGAATTCATAGCCCTTTTAAAACACTGAAGCACACTTGTTGCAGTTTAAGGGTGAAAACGAGGTTAGACTGTGAATGAAAAAAGAACTTCCGCGCGTGTCGTGAGCATACATATATGTCTAACTATTGCTCGCATGGATCATGCACACTTAAAAAAAAAATGGGACAAAATTCACACAATTAGATTCATTCTGTATTTTTTTTAAAGTGATCTAAGTGGTTTTTCAGCCTAACGACTATCAAATGCACAGGACCTAATTTAAGGTCAACATACATATCCGATACCTTACTTTTAAGAAGTTAGTCTGAAGACAATTTGTTTGGGAGAAATCGGATCACTTCGGTCCAGAAGAACGAGAGAAGAACAAAGCAGAAATTGAAGGTTTTATGCTGCCGTCATTCAATTTTGTTTCAACATCCAATTAGGCAAGAGGCTCTACAAATTATCGCAAAGGCAGGCTACAGGCAAGCTAACAAGCCCCAGGGCTTAAGCCTGCTGTATAATCAGCGCCTACTCTAAATTATAGACTGCAGCCACTTGAAATGGAGTTCAACGAAGGGCTGCAGGAAAGGTCAGCCATTAAACTAATATTGTTAAGTCACGGAGTGCATTCCTATGGATAATGTCAACACAAAGCAAAAAGAAGAAGCTGATTAGGTATTTAAAACTTTCGAGTGGTTGCCCTGTTATTGTGGGTTTTGAAAAGCTTTCAGCAAGAAAAATAATAGTCTGTGTTCTATGATTTGCTGCTTTCAAAACATGCATCGCAGGCAAGGAATGCACCACTCCAGAAAAATAACATAACCGGCTCTCCTGGTTTTTAGAAACAATGGATACATATGCAATATGAAACATATTTTTTGACTTTGTGTCATAAAACAGTAGATTTTACCAGATGACTGTACTCCACCCGTGCTTAAACACTGACTCGCTCATCTTACACTGCAAAAATCTTAAATCACTTCTGAAAAAAAATCAATAAGGACACCAATTTGTTTACGGCTTTGGTCTTAAAATGCTCAGAATAGTTCCAAGTTTACCTCTTGTCCTGCAGAAATCCTTCTCTGTATCAGTGAGGCATAAGCCTTGTTTAATACTAACGTGACACGTCAAGGGTGGCCAGGAGAATGGGTTCCCACTGGTGCCACTTAATACTGGTATCAGACCTGTCAGTCTTGGCAATGGAGGAGTGACTGCACCAATCACGCGAGCAGCAGGCTATCCTTTTGTATCGGGCAGAATGATTAAGAACCCCCTTTAAAACGTGGCAGGTGCCAGCTGCTGCCCAGCCGGCCGCACGCATGTGAAATTGACTGACTGACCTGGTTGATGGAGTTGGCAGCGCAGGAAGCCAGGCCCGTTCCCAGGGAGGCCAGGAGGAAACAGCCAAGGTCAAAGGGCACCGGTGCCATCGCAAAACCAGCTGAGGCTGTTGTGACAACCAAGGCTAGAAAAGACAGATGAAAGAAAATGTTCAGCCAGATAAGGACAAATCAGGAAAAGGAGAATTTTGATTTTATTTACCAGAGCTTTCTGTGTTGTCATTTATCCACAATTATGAGATCAGTCTTTCATTACTGAGAAATTAATTTGTTAGGAAAACAAAATACATAAATAATTATACCTGATTCCAGACTAAATCTGACAGATTAAGTTTAAGCTGCTGCAAATCTGTTTCATTTGGCAAGACATCAAATGTTTTGCCAGATGGCATCGTGGGATACAAATCCAAGTAGATATACTCAAATTGGCAAGACAGTCTCCATTTGATTTTAATTCTAATCAATCAAAAACAACAGGGACATTATATAAACTGTTAATTGCTCCTCTACATCTATCTTTTGCTTGCTTTTCAACAGTTATGCTATCTATGGTCTCAATTCACTGTTCCCAGAAACCATACAAAACACCTGGTGTAGTGTTACAAAAGAAAATGAAAAACCTTCTGTGCAAATACCCCGTAACAATGAATCAAGAGGTTAGGCAAACATCCATATCTTACTCTACCCAGGATTAAGTCAAGAAAAGATCCTGTTGAGACGGTGTAACCTGGAGGCGTTTTGCATTTTTGTATCAGTAAAAGTAACACAAAACCATCCATCCATTGTCAGAAAGCCACATATTCCAGATAAGGTTTTGCAGCGACTCAGAGCCCATCCTGGATTCACAGGGCGGGACAAAAACTGGACAGAATGGGAGTCCAGAGCAGGGCACAGCCAGGCGGAATCAATCCCAAGATCCAGTAGTTAGGCAGCAGCAGTGCTGACTATGTCTACATGCTGCCCGACACACAAATCAATAAGAAGCACCGTGCTTCCTCGTCAGGGAACGTCCTACATTCACAGGTTGAAAGAACTGAACTCTGTGAGTCTTCAGTAGAGGAGATCACAGGGGGACCTCGTCACAGTAATCAAAATACACAAGAACACCGAACAGTGAAACACAGACAAGAGGACTCTGGTGGAAACTACATGGAAGTGCAGGAAACATCTTCAACCACTGTGCCATGGGAGCATTGAACGAGCTGCTCGGCCACATTGTTGGAGCTGACACCCTGTTATTTTTAAAGGAACTAATGGCTGATAACACAGGGTCAATTAGCTGCTAACTACCAAATGGACTACAAGGGCTGAAGTGCCTCCTCATGGCAGTCAATCCTCTTATACTTAATCCCAGACCAGGGAGACAATGAGACAGGGAAACCTACACAGCCTTGATTCAAGAGCCACGGCTCACACTTTTCTTCTGATCCTTCTTGGCAAGGCAAGTACTGGACTCTGACGGGCTCACACTCTATCAGCTTCTGGTTGCTTCCCTTTCTTTTCTCACACCTTGACACCCAGTCTTTAAAAAAACAAAACCATCTCCTCGGATATGTCATCTTTATAAAAAGTACAGATTTTGGGCATTCCAGAACAGATTATTAATGCCACACCAGTGGTCGAAAGCACAGTAAACCCTCAGTTTAACAGAGTGATGGGGGGAAGGAGTGTATGTAATTGCTGAATGTCTGTTCAATCGCAAATCAAGTTCTCGCAGCCTACAAATACAATATCATATGAAAATAAAAAATATATATCTACAAGGGTTCAGGATATTCTGAATAATTTTTTAACAATAGCAATCAATACAGTTAATGAAAATTGAGTCTCTGCCTTTTTGTATCAAAAACATAAGCTCTTTATTATGTGTCAGAAATATACTGTATAAAATTTGCTAAAGCATATGAAACACAAAACAACACCTTTCTTATGTAACTGACCTACCCTATATTAGGCACTACTGATATTTCGGAATTTAAACCTATGTAGTATGCATTTTACCTTGTTTTATTCTCTGTACATTTTCCCATTGTTATTAGGAAAGTCCTGTATTTTTTACAGACTAAATTCCCCGTCTGGTTAAATTCAAAGTCTGTTAAAGCCAAGTCTATTAAACAGAGGGGTTACTAGAATATACCAATGTGAGAATTATGCTATTAGGCTCTCAACAAACATCTAAACCATTTTCCTTGTAGATTTCACAGTATGCAAAATCATTGAACAAATACAGATGAATGACTTAGCAAGTGGCTTACATTGATTTTGAATGTTCAAATGGTCACTGCATGAGCATGAATAAGAAACAAAACCCTTAATCTTGAAGAAACAGTGCACTTTGTTTTCCTTTCATTAGATGATAACAAGAACAACACCTGTAGGCTTCAAACACTGAAAACTTACCGTGGATCATGATGCTGAAATGCAATTTCAATCAAACTAAAAGCCACCCAAACTCACTTAACTGTGGTTGTCCACAACTCTGAAACCCTGGCTATCACAGTACACTGGGAACAGAGAGCAGATAGAGTACCTGTTAATTTGATTTTGGACAGTCGTGCATAGATCCCAGGAAGATCCTCCAAGTTCACTTTGACCTCCTTCCACTGCTTCTCCTTGTGAGCATCCTGACTAGTAGCAGGCTCCTCGGAAACAGGGACAGATGCCTTGCCTTCATGTATGCAGGTCTCACTGGGTAAAGTTACAGTGCATGGGGGTGGCTTGAGAGTGGGAATCTGCTGCACTTGTCGGATAACCGTTTCTTCCTGCAGGAGGGGCTGCTGATCTTCTAGGGGGGCTACCAGATGCTCCTGTTTGGCTTTCGCCCTCTGGCACAAACCCCTGGTGTTTTTGGTGACATACTGTACAAAAGAGAAAACAAAACAAAGTAAAAGGAGGGGTTTCACACTGGCGCTCATCAGAAATCACATGCTCTCCCGAGAGGCTCAAGCAGCACAGTCAGGCATTTAGAGCACAGACTGAAACCCGAGGTCCTGATGTTGCCTTTTCAGGCTCAGCTGGCTACTCAGCCAGAGCGCTCTTACTTTTCCAGCAAAACAATGACTCGTGTGGCCAACAGGGCACTAGCCTCAGACCCCTCCTCTACCAGGTTCTGTCTCTACTGTAGGACACTGGAGATTCCGACACGCACAACAATGTGGTTTCTGCACTCACAGGCAAAATAATAAATGGATCTGCATGTGGGTTCAGAGCCCCAAGATCAAAATCAAATAGTAATGAACTAACAGGTCTTACTGCTCACTTCAGATTATAAAACTGAATGGAAAAAATATGAAAAATCAACAAATCTACTGCTGAAGGTATGGTGTTTGTCCAATCTCTTTGTGACGTTACTCATTGTTGTCTCAATCCAAGAGAACTATCGGAGTGCCATGGAGGTCTATAAAATGAACAACGGTTCTTACCTGGCGCTTTAGGAAGTTAAGGTGCTGAAAGGTAATGCGCTCACAAGTGCTGGATCTGAACAGCTGTAAAAGGCAGCGAGTGCTGTGGCCACTCCTGGCTCCATTTTCAAGACTTTGGAAAACGCAAGAACCTACCAGACCTGGAATACAGACACAGCATTCACACAACGGGCCAGTACTATGATTTTCAAAAGACATTTTAAAACAGTTTCTCACCTTGTGTTTATGGGCTTTCAATCACAGTTCAAATAAATCAGATTTCATTTCCACTGGGTTTTTAGACAGTCAGATATTGATTTTAGTCAATAATATGACACTGCTTGACTTTACTGACTCTGTACATATCATCACACAGATTTCCTACTGACCGTAGCTTGATGTTGAAATCCAGCAGGTGGCCAAACCTTGTTCTGGAGAGTCTCAACGTAGAAGGTTTTAAGGTTATGTTTCTTTATACAAGTATGTGTGATATACTGAATTGCTTTGAGAAAGATCTGGACCTGATCTTTGGATCAATTAGCTAGTAACTACCACCCTTAAATCACTAATTTACGAACAGGTGAAACAAGTAGTCGCTTTGACCACTGAAACAGACGAGCTGGTCAGTTAAGTAGCTTACACAAAAACATCAAAGCCCTGTAACTTCCAAAGACCGTATTTCACTATTCCCGAGTCATATGAGCCAAGCACAATTCGTAGATCAAAACTCCTATGTGGTCCAAATCTTCACACATTTACGGTTTATCGGTGACCTATTAGGGCAATAGCAAAGTTCTAGTTCTCCTGCATCAACAATGGGTTACCACTTTTCTTTTACATCAAGGTCAAGTAGAGAACAACATATTGTTAATTTCACTCGCGAAATCACTATCTGAATGTTACTTTTGCTAGAGGATTAACTGGGACGGAAAACGGATTGTGTACCCAGTGCTAAAATAGCAAATTCTAAATATGTTCTGGATGACTTATATGAAGGCCAATCCAGTTCATTTAAAACTGTTACACACCGACGTTGTTGTTGTTGTTCTTGTTCTTCTTATTATTATTACAAATAACTGCAAAGTGTTGAGTACGAGTGAGCAGCTATACAGTATGGGGGGAGGGGTTTCACCATTTAAAGCGTAAACGAAAAAAAAGGCACAGAAGAAATTCCTAATATGTAAATTCGAATATCCTTACAATGCTAAGTGACTCGCTATTTTGCTTAAATTGCTCAATGTGAAGCACACTGTCAAGTTAATTTCAAGGTTGTAAAGAAGGTCAGGCAAAATATACATGGCCATTGCAAACTGAAAAATCACTTTTTTATTGTCTCCGACGACCTCCGACAGTTTGTCAAAACCGAGGGCCACAATACTCGCCCCACAGAATTTATCAGGTATTGGATCCATACCTGTCAGCTTCCTACACGGAGTCTTGTACATGATCATGCAGCATGAAGCGCCGGCTTCACATCGTGTTCTTTACGTACTGTAAGCCGCCATGTTCACCTCCAAGAAGCCGAATCCCTTCCGGGTTACTTCCTAATAGGGAAGGGATAGTAAATGTGACGCACGCAGAAGTGTGCCGGAGTGAGGGTGAATTCTCCATCTCCAGAAAGGGCGAGAAACAAATTAGCCCTTTATCTTTGGGAATGATACACGTGTTCGCCCCTGTATGTACATTATGCTTTAATGTGAGGAACTTGAAGCGCCGAAGGCACAATGTTATTATAAATCAAAAAGTTAGAAATAAAATTCACCTCGGTAACTGAAATATGTTCTCGTGTTCTTTTACTTAGACAAAAATGTTGTTACGACGAAATATTAATAGTAAATTAATTTTACTATAAGTGAATATATTTTTCTTCGGTCTGAGGACACGAAGCACATAGGTCACCTGTAGCCGGGATATCTCTGGGAAGGAGCCCGGGAGAGACGGGACAACCCCCTGGAGCAACCGAGTGACGACATGGACTTGAGCGCCGGCCCGTGTCGCCAGCATGCACACGGCAGGACTGCGGTGACACTCTTCAGGCTCTGCTGTGTGTGGAACAGGAGACCTGAGGAAACTTCAACGGCGCTCAAGCTGATTTTTGCTTTTGCTTCTTTCGTCTGTTTTGGTGGGAATGAGACCCTCTGGGACTCTGTCTCGCCCCACATTCCCAAACGTCTTTTGGGCTCGACCCCGTTTGCGGACCTCACGCCTCATCAGTCCTGCCGGACACAGCAGAGTTTCTGCAAGGCGCAGAGCAAACCCGGTCGCGAAGCAAAGTTCTGCTTGTGCTGCCGCCCTCGTACCACGCCGTCTCACTATCGCCATATGCTGCGCTGTTTGTTATTGTAACACACCGACGGCTATCATTACACGGTGATGAGTGCCGTGACTTCTTGTGGCTCTAGAGACGTTGCACTGGTCTCACGCTCTCTCTTTCAGAGCGTATAAGTCATACGATATATCCAGTCAAGATACAGGACTGATAATATCAGTGAATACGATCAAACCCAGATAAGGAGAAAAATGTAATGTATCTCAGGTGATAAACTGACTTTAATCATTTTAACATGAAATGCACGGTAAACTCAGAATAATATTTCCTAGATTATTAACATTTCAACTCTTGTCACTAAATATATATTAGGTACAACTGCAAAAAGAAAATAGTGATAGTGCAAAAAGTAACAGATACACAAATTGATAAATTAAAATGCAAAACCTAACATCCATCATATAGTAGTCTATTCAGCTTGTGTCAAAATGCCTTCCTCCCACTGTAAGCATTTCATGGCCATTGTACCATGAGCTTCACTGGCACTCCCACAATGCTGCAGCCTCTACATGTGGATTTCCAGAGAGCTTGCACCAGCAGGAAAAGGGGCAGGTCTTTTGCTGATGTCATTGCAAGCCTACTGCCTTGCCACAGGGGTCGCTGTTTCAGCCAAACCTGAGAGGACCTGACTATTGACATGACCCAGGCTCATAGGGAGTCTGGATCTCTGCTGGGTGTAACCCAGTGAGCCACTCCATGCACAATATGCACTTGTAGTCTAGGCTTAAATTTGTGAATTTCTGAAATAAAATGGATACATGAATGAGAAGTATTGAACTTGTCAAGTGTGTATGTCTCGTACAAACCCAATGAAGTTGCTGATTAACGTTGGAACATCACAAGTAGGTATTGCTCCCTCTATTTATCTCAAGTTAGATTATTAAAAAGAAATACAGTATTCATGTTTCATTAGAGTTATCTACACTATTTCTTTAATATATATCAGTTATTGGACATGAAACTGAGAAAAATGCTTCTTTAAAACTGAGTGTGTAAAACATACTGTATTACATAAAACACTAAGGAAGTAGGCGATCACAGCAGCATTAACAGTAACCCTGGCAATACAAAAAAGGTTGTCAAAGAAAATTTAAGTTGCACATAATTACAAAAGCTCCTGTTTGCTCCCATGGTCCAAAGACATGCTGGGATAGGCTCAGGCTTCCCCACACCCCTGTACTGGATAAAGCAGTTAGAAAAATGATGGATGGATAATTACATAACTACCAAAATCATACTATACAAATAGGACGGAGATTGATATGTGTTTTTTCAAATGTGAACTAGTGTTTAACAGACTGTAAAGTACATATTTTCTTCCACATATAATTCAGGAGGCTTAATTTAGGACTGTGTGCTAACAGATTACAGCTGTAAGTGAGGAAGACCCTCGAGCAGCTCTGAGGCATGTAGCTTGGTGTGTGTTGAATCTGAGCTGGTGGTACAGGTCACTGGAAACTTCCGTAGTGTGTCAGGACTCACGTGTTAACACTAACTCATTCAGAACTTTGAGAAACAGGACTCCCCCCACAAGCGAAGCCGAGAAACAATATTTATCTTCAGTGTTTTGGAATAATTCATCTCTGCCAAAGACCTGGAGGTTTCAGTCAGTCACCAGTGCAATATTTCAACACACTGACTGCCCTGTTTACACATTTGCACGGGCTTCGTTTGGTTCACTCTGGCGGAGAAGGAGGAAGATTCTGAGGCCAGGCTGAATGCTGTGACAGTGCGGATGTTATTTTGCTTTCTTCTATCGCCCCTTTAATTTACTGCCCCTGCCTTCAGTACAGTTAATTATGTTACTGCTAACAAAATCAACAAACTTGTAAGAGTGATTAGATACCCATTGGATCACTCAATGAGCACGCTGTAGATTTAGTCAGCCTGCTGCTTTGAGCAAAATGAATCAGAGCCTGATACTTAGATCTCAGTTTATACACTAGTTCACAATAATAACCCTAGGCATTAGGTAGGTCATTTTTTTATTTGTGAGAAATGTTTCATCGTCCAGGGAATGGAGGCAGGCTCCTCCCACCCTCAAGCTGCTCGTCAGTCAGCGTGTCACAGGAGGCTCAGCTCTGACCGACAGAGAGACTGGCAGCACCTTGAAGGCCTCAGGGATCACCGTGTCACTGAGAGCCCATAGAGCCCTAGCGACTAATCCCAACATTCCCACTCGGTATTCCTTGTCACTGTTAGCTAGTGACATGTCGCAGGTACTCATGAGACCACCTTTACCCCATGAGCCTATCAGGAGGCCCCTCCAAAGTGTGTTTTAGTGGAAGTCTGCTGTAAAAGACAATGAATATGTTAATACCATAGACCACCAAGGAGTCAGGTTTTGGTATAAATCAGAAAGGAATAATAACAGGCATGCAAGAGAACTACAATGCCTTTGTTTTCATGCTTCACCTTGCAGTAAAATAACTGTACTGTACATAAGAGGTTCTGAGCTATGTCAGAAAATATAAAACAAACAAATGGAGGTTATTTCCTCTCGCGAAAGAAAAAAAAAGAGTGAAATACACAACAATTCAGCTGCAGAGCCTTCTCCATCTGTCTTGATTTCATATCGCTACGTGTTCCTCAGGTGAATTTTGAAAATCTCAAGTTAGATATTAATGTTGTAAGCTTACATCATCTGTTATTATTTTATTCAGTTATGTAGTAAGAGTTCTAATGTTCTGGTGTCATGCGCTTTAATGTATTTTAAGTTATATAGAATTCTCTGTTTCAGTTTGTAAATAGTTTTACTAAATATACGTATCCTTGTGTTCCGATTGGTCTTACTGGGTAAAGTGGCATTTAAAGAGAGAGCTATAAGGAGAAGTGGGAGAGAATGAAGTAAGCTGGAAATGTGACTGTTGAAATAAACTTTTAGAAGAGAATATTCATCTCCATCCTTGCATGCAGAATGTCCAACCACCAGCACACAAACCCTGCAGTTACTGTGAACAATGAGGAGTGAAAGTTATGAACTCAGCATACACACATGAGTTAAATGTCCCGGGAGACCAATAGCAGTAAAAAGAATTCATAAAACAGTTTTATTGCCATATGCATTTCTGTCCCTTTCATAGTTAGCAAACTAAACAACCTGTTGAACAGATGGAACAAATATGGAGGGCAAAGAACAAGAATTTTATATTGTCTTCTCCACTGATGGCACAGAGTTTCATAATGAGTTTATCTAAACACTCGCTGCCTGCTTATGAAGTCTTACTACAGGACTTTATTCATACTCATCCAACAGTATTACACCATCTCTAAGAAGCTGTTTCTTTTTTTTTTTGCAGAGGAAAAAAAACATCAATTCATGATCCAGCATGTAATATTTGTTAGTCCAATCTAAATATTTTAATACATCACATGGAAATGTGTGCTGTAAAAGAGGAGGAACCACAAAGAACACATTCTGCGTTTTGAAACCAATGAAGTGCCTACAAAAGTGTTCACATCAATAGTTTGGCAAACTCTGAATTTACAAAACAAACAACATAGGAACACTGCAGCTTTCAAAACTCCTTGTAGTGTGTTTAGAAAATAACTTTAACAAAGTCTTTATAGTTTTTTAAAACATTTTTAACTCACAAAAATAAAAAGTTTAATTAAGAAACACACTGATGATCCAGCCCGAATTTTTAAACAAATTAAAATTTAAATATGATGATGTGTTTTTTACGTTCCTGCTGTAAGGATAACCACACTAGATTAAACACAGTAAAGACCCAGCCACAGAAGAGCTTTCATTCGGACTGGGGAGAATGTACAGTACATACATACTGTATGCAGACACAGTTTAGAGTTTCAATAGCTAAATTCATGTGAAAACTCTTTACTTATCACAGAACGAGAACCCATGTGTTTATTTTAACAGCTTTAAACCTTATAACTGGAAGAAGCCCCCATTTATAAACTACAAGTTCAATTAAATAAAAGAGAAAATACTGTGCAGTTTTCATTTCCAGGCTTTGCCTTACTTCAAATTTTAACAAAGCATGGAAAAGTGGGACAGAAGAGGTGTTTTAATGGATCTGCAAGCAGGAGTATTTATCTGGCTTGCCAATTTAAAAAGAATATTATGGCACCCAATAGAAAGAGGTGACATACTGAATCAATTGAGAGTAACCTTGGCCTTAGGTTATATAAGCAAAGCGCTGTAGGGCCATTAATAGGCATAATTAAGGGGGTCCTTTGC